TTAAATTAAACATTTATCCTCTCATCATCATCCATTCTATTCAATCTCTTCCTCCCAGGATCTCCTTGAATTAGCACTTTCCGAAACTCCTCTTCCCACGGCACCGTTATTGCTACACATGCTTCTTGACGTGTGCCTTAACACTAACCACCCCTTTCTCTGTGTTACACTCTCTTGTCCTCCTCCATTCTTGGAGTTGACGTTAGCATTCTGTGAATTTGAGTGACCTCTCAAGGAAGAGTCAAACAACTCGATGGCGAGATCATCGAGGCTAATCTTTAGGAACCCCGATCCCCTCACCTTATTGACAAATCTCCCTTTGGTAGGCGACGTTGGAGTAGACTCCTTCATTGTTGTACTCCTCTTGTGGAGAGTGGCAAGGGAATTGACTAAGACTCCAAGCATGGCAGTGCAAGGAGGTCTGGTCGAAGGACGATGAGTCTTCTGCCAATTGCCCTATCGACGTCCTCTTGGAAGTTGACTTGAAAGCTGATGTTGCCATTAAAGACAAAGATAACAATAGAAAAGAAGTATCACAGCTATAGACACGAACACAAGAACAATTAATCTAAAAATTTTTGGAATTTGAAGATGAAAATTGAAGTACTGCTTGCAGGGATGGAGAGAGTGAGGAAGAAGAATACAAGTTGAAATCAAGGATGGAAGGATAGATGTTTGTCAAAGAAACAAGAATATGGATTTGAGTTTGTTGGAGATGGAGATCCGAGGAAGGAAGAGATTGAATGAAAGGAATGATGATGAGAGGATAAATGTGTAATTTAATTTATTTAGTTTATTTCTTAAATATTCAATTAATCTTAAATAATGTTAACTTTATTTAACCAATTATTATGTGTCATATGTCATTTAAATTTTATTTATTAGTTTGTTTAAATATTTTTGAGTTTGAAATGGGATCACATGCCACATAACACTTGCCACATAGCTATTCTTTACCACGATGACACTGACTACGAAAGACTTAACGATAATATAACACGCACATGATGCATGTGAGGCTTTGATGTTAAATTTTGCTTTATTTTCATAAAATTGAAAAATTAGAGGATAAGAAATCATAAATTGTAAATTGAGAGATAAAGTGCCTCATACTCGAAAAGTGGAAGGGCAGAGTAGGGATTTTTTTTGCCAACAATTCCTTGTTTATCTTCTTCACTCCCTATTTCTAAGAAATCCTTCTTGGTGTTGATATAATTAATATTACACAATGGTATTACTGTCTTAGTGACTAGGAAAATACTCGTTTAGCAAGTTACTGATCAAATGCACCCCGCTGCAGGTTGAGAGAGAGGAATTTATTCAATTCTAAGTGGACTGACTTTGAAACCTTCTTTGTAATACACGCCTTCAAGCTCTGCTCTTGAATTTTATTAAAAATCCTACATTCTCGGATTTATATTTTGCTGAAGGTTTGCATTGATTTTATGGTGTTTACAAACCAATGTTGTATGCTGACAAACTATCTTTCCTCAGGCCCCCCACACCTTTTAACTTTGGCTTTGGGGGGCAGAATTTGGGACAGCCTATTTCCCATCAGCAAATGCTGTACTATCTTACTGATTTTGTTATTTACTCTATTCATGTGCAGGGATCGGCTTTTAACATCAGTCTTAATGTGGTAGGTTCATAGGATGGCGGGACAAATCATTGTAAAAAAAGAAGAGCAAACTTATAAACCCCAATTTAGTGAGATATAACTGTTTTTTTTTTTTTCTTTGCCCTCAATTGGAGATTAAAATTTTTTTTTTGTACAAATTTGTAAGGAATCGGATTTGAATCGTTACTTGAGAGGTGAAGAAATGCACTTATACCTGACACCACTGGACTCGAAAGCTCAAGTGCAATTGGAGATTAATATTAGTGGTAGTATTTTGAGAAAAAATTATTGTGTAATTTAAATTAAGATTTATGTAAGGTATAAATTAAGG